AAAAAAAAAAAAAAAAAAAAAAAAAAAAAAAAAAAAAAAAAAAAAAAAAAAACTCAAATGTTTAAACTGTTCAACTAAGGAAGACACTGAGAGATCAGTATCTCTTGGTGACACATCTTTAAACATATAATCAAACATAAAACAGCAGCAAAGAGTCTTTTACATATTCCACTTGAAAATATCACGAGGTAAAGACATGGGCAAATTAATTTAATTCCTCAATTTACAAAGTCAATATGACTGTTTTAATTTCTTTCCATTCCTACCTTCTACTTTATAATTACATTGCATACTGATTACTGTATGGACTTTCATAGGTCTAAGCCCTGATAACTTGTAATAAGTATGTTGTGGTGTAAGACTGGGTTCAGATTCAAACATCCTACCAGCAGGACTCAACTCTGCAGGGGATTCTCCTTAAAGTGCATTCAGTGTAATCAACTTGAGTAGCTAGTTAATGAGTTAATACATCTTAGCAACACGAGGATTGCACTTACGGAGAATCTCCCAAAGAGTTCAAGCGACCCAGCTATAGTATGATGGGTTTATCTGAATGCTCCCAGTGACCTTGTTCTGCCCTAGTCAAGTGACTATGACCACATTTTAAAGTACATACGCCCCATCCTGATCATGCTATCATTAAAAATGGCTTCTTGGAACTCAGTGCACAAATAAGGAGGCCTAGTTAACATCCCAGGTGTTACAGAGAGCTTGGGACTGTCCCCATTACCTCTAGCTAGCCCCTCCCCCATTATAAACTAAATGGGTGTGGCATAAAAGCTGTCTCCACGTCACTTCACAGCATCACAACCAATTATCATCATATTGCCATAAAAAACAAGTCACATTGTGTCAATCTACAGTGTATGTGTGTCTGTGATGACCACACTATCAATCTACACAGCATAAGTTACCCATTGCCGTGCTATCCTTATAACCCCTGGTTCATTTAGCTGTTTCTAGCCCTCCATGCTCCCCCTTAACACAATATGACAGCATCACTTGATGTATTATACCCAGAATGAAGCTATTTTCCATAAACTTGGGAGAGAGGTCCATCAATGTCCCTGAAGACAGTTTACACAGAGTCTTCCTTGGAATCTTCATTCACAGCAGCATGCTTGGCTTTGACCAGTGTGTTCAGCATGATGAGTATCTGATCCAACTTCTGGTCCATTTTGTTGACCTGGGAAGTAGAAAATGAACAGCTTCTGAAAATGTTTATATATATAGATATGTGTGTGTGTGTGTGTGTGTGTGTGTGGCAAATGCTTTGATAAAATATCAATCCTTTTGATATTTCAGCATAAAAGAGAAAAGGTGTTAGAATTATCAAAGCATGGAGAGGGCGGAAAGATTCTGACACAGGAGGAGAACAGACAACCCACAGTGAGGTAACAGTTTATAAAAGGTACTCTTTGCAGCCATAATACACTGTATATGCACGCCCAAGCACAGATGCAGATGTTTTGTTTTGCCAAACAAATACAATCTGCAGCAGTGAATTCTGACTGGTGCATGCTGCAACACCCAGTCTCTTCACAAAAACAAAACAAATCTGTGTGGAAGTGATATCGAATATTGCCTCAAGACAAACGAGAGGCACAGGTGGGAAACAAAACAGTCTGTGTATGTTATTTTGTGGTGAAAAAACAGGCCTGTTGAATTTCAAATAATGTTGAAGTGAAAATGGTTCTAAAAGTACATCAGCAACAAGCAAAGAAAAAAAAAAAAACACTAAAAAAATTTGCAACAACTACTGCAGGTAATATTTGATCAATTATAAACTACCTTTTTTTTCCTCCACCTTTTTGAATTTACAAAATGTTCACATTTTCCATGGGGGTTACTGATAAACACATTGTAGAACTAATTCCAGTAAGTTGAACCATAAATACATTGTATTAATCAGTTAAAAGTAGCACAGAAGATTCTGGTAAGATCAAAGTCAGTATAGCTTTGATGTGCCTTGCAATATCTTCAGCATTCTGTTTATATTTTAGATCTACCTTTCCCTCAACACTATCATATTTCCGGTAGAAAACAAAAAAAGTACACTGGAGCCTCGAACTCTTGCTGAGAGTTTCTTTCTCATTCATTTCCTGACTTGCAGACACGAAAAGATATCTTTTAAAATTACCTTTGATTTTTTTTTTTACAAAATTATTCAAACATTCATCCAAATCATGGATTTTTTTTTTGAGTACAAAACACATACAGGATGAAACCACAGCTATTTTTTCCTTCCTGAATTTTTCTTTCTGATAATATTAAATTAAAATAGCCTGGTTTCCTTCAACAAAACTGACATAAAAACTAAGGATAAAGCAGTGCATAATTTTTGTCACACTAAATAGATGTGGAAGTATTGGAGGTAAACAACAATTTCAATAGTAGCTGTTCACTACAGAAAATGACTAAGAATATTCTTACATAACACAGATGATGAAATTCTTTTCTGACATAAAAACCTCAAAACTTCCACTCTCTCCATAGACAATGTTCTCTCAGATTCCAGTGTGACAAGTTAAAAGCACACAACAGGAATTCAAAAAGCAGCATGTGATTGCCCAGGCCTTCTGATCAATTGATACGACACCACAGCCATGTCACAGCCAGATCAGAAAACAATGTCACTGTCTCTTCCATCACAATGGTAAAACTATATGTGCTAGCTGGTGGTAAGAATATGCTGACATGACTACTGTGGCATACAATACAACCACAGTTATGACGATACAGGGACTGGGGGAGAAATGATGCACTTTAATGGAAAAAATCAGCTATTTCAATCTCTGTCAGATCATATACATCAAATTCAATTACGTCTAGCAAAATGCAGTACTTGAGTCATTTTCAAAGTGTTTTACATTTGTACAATATGTAGCTTCCATATGTTGTACAATGTACCGTGAAATGGGAAAAATGAAAGGCACCATTTCCAGTTAGTTTCACTTACTGATGGGGCAGAAAAATTCCTTTTCCCTGATTGTTTTTTCTTTTAACAAAACAAATTCCAATTAAAAAAGACAGTAAAAAACAAACCTGTGACATTGGGACATGTGATTATGTGAAAACATAACACAATCTAAAAACTCCTCTTGTAATGAGTACTTAAATAACTCTAGGACACAATACAATAAGTGTACTTGGCAGAACCCCTACCCTTTTCCTTGTCAGAAAGGTATTTGAAACAATGGTAAGCATACCTCTGGCTCAGGTTCGATTTCATTCCAACACTGATTAGTGAATATTTAGGATACAGTATCAGTGCATTATGCAAGTGACGAGACTTACTATTGTGCAATGGAGTGAACGGGTGCAGTCAAAACGGGGGAAAAAAGTCCAGCTGCCATCACGAGGAATATTTCATTGAAGGCAGTTCTTGACTGAACAATGAAACTTCCATCAAATATCATTATACTACTGATTATAGTAAAAAAAGAAAATGTAAACTGGAAAAAGTAGCCATAGGAGCAAAACACCAGAGGAATTTCAATCCAAACACACATTTTTATTGCTCAGGTTAAATATCCTAAGGTCTTAGGAATCAACTTGTTTCAAAGAACCAGCTAAACTATGTCAAATGAAAAACTATCTTATAATAGGACAGAAAAGCCGAAGAACATTACTTGCCACCTGCCAAATGACAAAAAATTGAAAAATTGCCGATCAGTAATCCTTCAGATATACAACTGTTTGATATACTTTATATCAAATCTCCTGAATTTGTATTGGTTTTAGGACGTGTCAGCTTTGTATACACGTACATTTACAAAAACTTCCAAATTTCTCACCAAAAAATATTGATATTTTTTTCTTCACAATCAAATTTTATGAGAAAAATTGTGAAATAAATGTCAGATTTTAGCACACTCTTGAAAGGGAAAGATATCAAAGTGAAATAATTATTTGGTTTAGGCAGGACTTAGTAAGGCTCAACAGATTTACAGCAAGTTTATAACCCGGCTATCTCACAGCACCTGTGTACTCAAAATTCTCATCAAATCCAAGCAGGAGATGTTAGTTCTTCCCTTATACTGTGTTGACTTAAGTACCAATCAACTTTTGCCTGAAGTTTTGTAGCAAATGAATTGACAAGTGGAAATCACATGTCAGCACATTCAAAGAAAATCGAACCTCCCATCTCAAATTATACACTTGCATGTGAGGCAGGCAAAAAAATTATCCATAGAAACTGTGACAACACAAAGCCTGACAAACATAAACCCCCAGTTTCTCATAAAGGGCTTGGGTCTTTGACTTTTGTTTCACAGTCTCTCTGCGTGGCACCTCGGTGAGTGCTAGTGAAATCAAATACACAAAGCTAAAATGACAAGTCTCATCTTCCAATAGATCAAAGAGGCATCCGCATAGATAAGTTGCAGTTTGATTGGCTGGTTAAATGGGCAAATCAAATTGGCCAGTCTGCTGTGTTATCTTAGCAAACAGCGAGTTTTACGATCATGTGCCATGAAATTGATTTCTGGTCATCTTCCTTGCCAGGTAATTGAAGTTTAATGATAAACAGAGCTTTCAATTTTCACTCTCACAGATTTGCATCTTCTTTCCCTGTTTTTCCTGCTAAGAAAAGGCTGTTGTATGGCTGGAGTTTAAATAAGAAAATTGAAAGACAAACAAATGGTTGAAAATGTAACCTTCTTACAGTTGTTGAATGGGTCTTCTGATACGGAAAAGTGCAATATTTCTAAAGCCATACACCAAGCATGACTTCCTCTTCACAATGCCACCATCAATTTCATTTTTGCAAATTATCAGAAAATGATATCTTATTTATCACACTTTTGCATTAACTCTATGCTGAATAGAGTCGTCAGCCTTAGAATATAAGCAATCTATTTATCACCCTATTTCTAAACCATATATCTGAATACAAATATATCTTGATCTTAGGTCTTTTTAAAGTTTTAAGAATATATTCATATTTTCTAACAAATTAATCAACACATCTGTCATCTTGAGCCAGAGTTAATTAAGATCATGGGATATGACAAAGGATATATCTTTTGTCAAAAACTTATTAAATTTTGAATAATAAACACATCTGTCATCGGACCTGGACTGGTTTGTAATCAAAGTGTCAAAAGAGGAAGGTAACACAAACAAGAAATTGAGCTGCTTTAATCTGAAGTTAATTTGAATATAATTGTCAAAGCATCAAAGATGAGAAACATAGCCTGCATGAAATGCTCATCACTATTGAGAAATAGTGATGAAAGATTATCTACCAGCACTGTGGTGGAGAAAAAAACTGGGTCATTAATAATTCAATGTAGATAACTTTGATGTTTCTAAATCTCTGATAGCTTTGTGGTCAATTTTAAAGAAAAAGAGAACAGCCATCTCATATTTCACCTGGCACACCAAAAAGATGACATTCAGAATGATTTTCACATGACATGTTTCTGAGTTGTCAAAACCAAACTTTGCCCAAACCCAACTTTTCCACTGGAAATCATATATTTTCACCTGTAACTCGTTATTCCTACTGAATGTAAATGTAAAATATCACGTCGTTCTTTATTTTAAAAATAGTCAGAAATTTATACAAATTAAACAGGGACAGAGCTGGGAAAATAATATTAACATCCACTGTGTGATCACCAAAAATTTCTCTGGTATATTTTGCACTGTAAATATCAAGGTGCCACATTTTTATTAACTTAAATGTATGTGTAAACATTTCTGTATGAGGTGATGTTAAATTGTACATACAACTGAGATGATATGAACTCTTCAGGTACGTATTAGTTACACATCAAGTGACTTAGTCATCTGCCACTTTAAGAAGAAGTCGAAACAAAACGATCATCAATTTTTTTCCAAATACAAGTAATGAACATTATGACATTTAGTAGTAAGCCTGAATTAAAAGACAACTGGACTACGGGTTTAGTGTCCACAAAAATTTTTCTTGATAGAATCTTCAATCACTACAAGTACTCAGTTTCAAAGAGAGGAACCAAAAGGCTGTGCCTCCTTGGGCAAAGAGCTGCAACACAGTAACTTCAATACTTCAAACAAGGGGTTATCCCGAGGGTTATCACTGCCTAAAACAAAGGTTTACAGAAGAATTCCTCAGTTGAAGCCATACATCACACAAGATGTGTAATTAGTTGATAACTTCGATTGTTAAAATGCTTGGGTCTGGCAATTTTTAATTTC